TTTCTAAATTACGTTTTGATCTCTGGTTTCTAATTTTTCTTTCAAAAATACTCTCAGAACTTAAATTTTCACCCTTTTTTCTCAAAATTATTTTTAATTTAATTCTTAATAAATTTTTACCCCATTTTTTCATTAAAATAAAATAAAATAAATAAATAATTGTATTTAATAAAAATAAAAATAAAAGAAAATGTTGGGTGCTACAATATTAGACAAGAATTGTTTGTCTTTTATTGTGATTTCCTTTTCCTCATTAATTTGGTGATTGAATTCAGATTGTTTGTTGAGGGATAATTGTAGATTTGGTAAAAGAACTTAACCCTGACTTTTTAACTAATCCTTGGAAAAGTTGAAAAATCAAAACAGCTAACTATAAATTCAACTACAGTTATCATCAAAAGTCTATGGGCTTAGTATGTTTAGGTTTTGTTCATAAACCAAACTTAATCTGCTCTCCACAAGGAAGCTTCTACTACCGCATTGAATAGTGACTCACTTATTAAGATTTAATTAATTGACTATTCAAAGAAATATTTATTATTATTGACCAGAAAAAAACTAATTATAAGGTTTTAATTAATAACAAGATCGTCACGCAACCATTAGATAAATTCTAAATTAAATTTGGGTCTCCGCCTCCCTTTTTTCTTTTTTTTTTAAATACCTTTTTTTGTGGATTTTGCAGAGACTTCAGAATCAAGAAATCAAATAAAGAAAATGATGAAAGAGAGTTTCAAATAAATAATAAAAAATTTATAATAAAAAAAATGTAACTTCACAGAAGAAGCCCACCTCATAACTCGTCGTGTATATATATATATGTGTGTGTGTATCCATCTTATAATTCCTCCATAACAATACCAACCTCTCGTCTTCAACATGGCACATCATTGGATATCGATAGCTTGTGCTTTAGTTTTTCTGATCTCTTCATCAATGGCTTCTGCTGCTGTCGTAGAACACTCATTTCATGTAATTACCTACATATATGTGTATATATAGATATATATATATATATGTAACTCAATTCATTTAAATTATTCTTTCTTCCTTTTTATTTTTACGAGCACTTCTTGAATTATCATCTTCATGTGATATTTATGGAAGATTAGTTTATTAATATAGTTGTTTAGTTATCTTTATATAAAAAATTACATAGTAAAGCCAAATATGTATATATAGGCTAATAGTAACAGTATCCTTTATCAATTATATTTGTTACTTGACTTCCATGCATGCAAACTCCTGTTTTAAATTGCAGATATATATATACATATGTGTATGTATATAACAGAAGTTTGGTGTTTTTTTTTTTTTGGATCAGGTGGAAAACTTGACTGTTACGCGACTATGCAAGAAGCAAGTTATAAACGCAGTGAACGGAAAATTTCCAGGCCCAACAATAGAAGTTCAAGAGGGTGACACCCTCCTTGTTCGTGTCCTTAACAAGTCTCCCCATAACCTTACTATTCACTGGTAATATTTTACCCTTTTATTTGGACGAATAAAAATATATATATATATTTACATGACTATATTGATGAAATAATATAACGTGGAAATGTAGGCATGGAATATTTCAATTACTAAGTGGGTGGGCAGACGGACCAAACATGATAACTCAATGTCCCATACCACCTGGAAAAACCTTCACCTACAAATTCAAAGTGATTAAACAAGAAGGAACCCTTTGGTGGCACGCTCATGTCTCCGTGCTCCGAGCCACCGTCTACGGTGCACTCATTATCCAACCCAGATCCCCTAAATCCTTCCCTTTCCCGAAACCCGACCACCAAGTTCCGATTCTACTCGGCGAATGGTGGAACGCCGATATCATTCAACTTGAAAATGAAGCACTTGCAGTCGGCGGAGGTCCCAACAATTCTGATGCTTACACCATCAATGGCTTACCCGGCGATCTCTATCCTTGCTCCCAAAATCGTAAATACATATCATCTTATCCCAGCTATATATATATATATATATATCCTTTTGAATTTAATCAATTATTTAAATATTTTGTTATAATTGTCAGATACTTTCAAGCTTAATGTGGTGAAAGGAAAGACCTATCTGCTAAGGATAATCAACGCTGCACTCAATAACCAGCTATTCTTCAAGATTGCTAATCATAAAATGACTGTTGTTGCTTTGGACGCTGCCTATACCAACCCATTTCTCACCGACGTCGTCGTCGTTGCCCCTGGTCAGACCGTCGACGCACTCCTCCACGCCGACCAGCCCATCGGTTCTTACTTCATGGCCGCCAGTCCGTACGCCAGCGCACCCAGCGTACCCTTTCCTAACACCACCACAAGGGGCGTCGTGGTTTACGACGGCGCCACGACATTGGCTCCGCTGATGCCACCAATGCCTGCCCCACACGATACCCCCACTGCTCACCACTTCTACACAAACATAACCGGACTGGTAGGCGGGCCCCATTGGGTCCCCGTACCAACGGAGGTGGACGAAAGGATGTTCGTCACAATAGGGTTGAATCTCGAGCCATGCCAGGAGAATGCCACGTGTCAAGGCCCCAATGGGCAGCGATTTTCGGCGAGCATGAACAACCACTCGTTTCAATCTCCGACAACGCTGTCCATGCTACAAGCTTTTTTCTTCAACGTTGATGGGATCTTCACCGATGATTTCCCCGACAAGCCGCCGGTGAAGTTTGACTTTACGAACACCAACAACAGCAACAACATGAGCTTGTTGTTTGCACCGAAGACGACGAGTGTTAAGAAACTCAAGTTTAACTCAAGGGTGGAGATGGTGCTGCAGAACACGGCGTTGCTGACGATAGAGAATCATCCCATGCATCTTCATGGATTCAACTTCCACGTGTTGGCCCAGGGCTTTGGGAACTATGACCCTGTAAGAGATAGAAAGAAGCTAAATCTTGTTAACCCACAAGCACGTAACACCATTGCTGTACCAGTCGGAGGTTGGGCTGTCATCAGATTCATTGCAAACAATCCAGGTTATTTCTCATTTTTTATTTTATTTATAACGTTGAACTTCCCACATTTAATATTTAATAAATAAAAAGAATCATCCGGGTTTACTTTGATTTTAACTGCGTATCTATGCACGTATATATATATATATGTATATGCAGGTGTATGGTTCATGCACTGTCATCTGGACGTTCACTTGCCGTGGGGCTTGGCGGCCGCTTTCGTGGTCGAGAATGGGCCGACGCCATGGACTAGGCTTCCTCCACCTCCACGTGATCTACCCAAGTGTTAATTAATTTATATTGTTTTGAATAAGTTTGGCTTTCCCTTTCACACGATTGCAATTAATTGTTTGATTTATACCGATTAAAGTTGTAATGCATACAGGAAATTCAAATAGCCATTCTATTGTATCACATTCATATTTTTGGATGTAATATAATAATAACAATAAAACTTGAATATTCATTGATATATCTTCAAATTAATTTAATTCTCACGTATTTATATTTTGATTGTTTGATCACCAATAAACCCATTTATTATCATGATGAATTATATCAACACAAATTTAAGATTTTATCTATATATATATATATATATATATAGACATATGCATAAACTACTGCATGTTGGTGTACAAGAAGAACCATACGTCTTTTTTGTTCCAAATTGAGTTAATATTAATTTTCAGAATTTAAAAAAAAAATGGTATGGACATTACATATATACACTCTTCCCAAAAATATATATACATATATATACACACACCCACAAATATATGAGGAAAAGCAAAATTAGGAGTGTAATTTTCAAAGTCAAACAAAAATATTATTTGACCTTAAAATTTCAGGTGATCAGTTAAAAAGGGACAGATTATGGCACGATATGGAAGTAACCGATGATATCCACTTTTGAAAATTAATGTTTTTCTTTTATTTATTCATTTATTTTAACAGGAAATATGTATTAAATAATAATACTCAGTTATTGTATAAATTAAAACCACTCATTTTTAAAATCTAATATTTTCTCATAAGCCCAGTGAGGTTCCCGAATAGACGTGTTGAACGACCAGTTGTGAGTTGGATAAATGAAAATATTATGTTATGCTTTAGGTACTTTAATCCAAGTAATTAACTAAAAGTTAGAGTTAAAATTAATCTAATAAACCTTAATTCTTGAAGGGTTTGCGTATAGAAATGAAATCATATAAGAAGATCGAATTAGTAATGTAAAAAATAAAAATTTAATTTGATACGTTACGATTCTAATTATTTTTTTAAAATAAGAAAAAAAAGTTGAATTCAATCAGATTAATTTTTAATCAAATTTTAATCAGGTAAAATTTGTGTTTAGATGTAAAAAAATTGTTCAAATTTATGTAGTTATATAATATAAATTTTAATTATAAATAAATATATTATTTTTAATTCGGTGTAAATATAATATATAATTTCTATAGTATATTTATATGTATGATTTTAGATATCGAATTACTTTAAAAAAGAGATGATAAAGTAATAATCATTTAACAGAAAAATCGTTTCTATATGATTTATATTTCTCCTCTCTTGAAGCAACAAATTTTTGACAAAAATAAGCATTGAATACGTGAAAAAATAATTCAAAATTATAAATTGTTAGTTAGGAATAAAAATTTTAAATTAATAATTATAAAAAAATAAAATAAAATAATAATTAATTAAATAGCGACAAATGAACGATTAGATAATATAAATAGATAAATTTATCACTGTCTATATATAAATTGTTGATTATTATATATATATGTATTTCTTTTTAATTAGATAAAAAAAAATTTATATTTTTTTCTTCAAACAGAATATGCAACATGCTAGCTGTGTTTAACGATGATAATCGTTGTACAAAACGATCCCAAAAAAAAAAGAAACTAAATTAAAAAGAATATATTATAGGATGAAATTGTGTATGTATATGTTTAATTTAAAAAAAAAAAAACCCGACAGTGTATAAATGGGAAATATGTAATGTCTCTCTTCATATTTTTAATAATAATAATAATAACAATAATAATAATAATAATAATATTCTGCCAATATTAACTCTTCCCATTCCATTTTTTTATTTCTCTCCCTATAATATTTTTGTGCTAATTATTCCTCTGTAAAATGTATAAGCCATCTAAACTAGTAAGCTTTTTTAATGAAATAATAATATATATATATATATATATTATATATTCACTAAAGCATTGTTGATTACAGGAGAGCCGGTGCAGGCGCAGCAGATTCAGATGATTCACTAGATATCGGACCAGGGGCTGCACCGGAGCTCAATATCTCGATCATTGAACGGTGGGGATTGCTGCGTTGAGCCTCGCACAGGTCAGGCAAAAATGCACCTGTTCAATTTGTAACTTTTATTATTAGTCAACAGACAAATTCTTACATTTTGCTTTATATATCAAATATAATATAATAATATATATATATATATATGTATATATAATTATTCTTTGATTGCAGCAGAAGCAGAAACACATCACATACCATTCATGTTTTGAAAATCAAAATAAGAAACTTTGTCAACATCATAGTTGGACATTACTTAGTTTCAGAAACAAGAAAAGCAGTATAGATGCCTTGCTTGTTGAAAATAATAATTTATAGATATTTTGTTTTATTAAGAAATTAAAGATTCATGTATTAAATTAAATTATGATTCATGTATTTGAAATTTTAAAAAATTATATTAATGCCTATATATATATTTGAAGATTTATGAGAACAATCATAATTTAAAAATTAAATCTTTCAATTAGTCTCATCATCTTCCTCTTATTTCTCTTATTTCAAGTATAAAACCCCAATTTGTAGTTCATTATGTTCTAATCTAAGGACGTGAGAAATTCATAATCATGATCGTTGTAAATTAAGCAAGTACCTTCACCAGCAGCCAAATTGAAGTAAAGGTCAACAATGTTGGGGCAGTTGTGGAAACAATCAGAAGAACAGAGCTTGGAGGTGAAGGAAGAATCGAGCAAAGAATCAGAGGAGATTCCGACAGAGTTACGATCAACGCCGCAAGCAGAGACGCATTCATCGGTCTCTACATATTTCGCCATCCTATCGACCACCACCTCCGATGTTCGGCAGACCAGCTCCACCCCTCCATTTCTCCTTATATACGTCTCCAGCAAACATCTTTTCCCCGTCGATGATATCGCATAGGCGCACTTATCTTTCGGCAACTCCTCGCACACAATTTCCCCTGCAAAAATGCACCAACCTCATCAAATTTCTGAAGAAAAGAAAAACAGGGTATGACGTAGTCTGTGATTTTGATTTACCTAGAGCTGCATTGAGGAAGAGAGATGAGAGGAAGAGAAGGAATGGAAATTTTAGTGAAGGAGCCATGAAGGGAGAGAAGGTTAAGAGTTTGTGAAAATGGTTTATTGGGTTTGAATTGAGAAGGTGTTTTATATATATATATATATATATATAGATGTATGGAGGTGGGTGGATGGGAGAATCCAGAAATGATATGAAGGGTCTATATATAGACTGCCCTAACTCCTATTTATTAATTGGGTTTGAGTGAATGTGTTGTGTTTCCTCTTAATTTTAATGTTGTAATAAATAAAATAAAATTGGGACGCGTTTGGCGGATTACCACTCTCTTGGATTTCTCCACCCTTTTTTGTTTTCTATTTTTTTTCACGAGTTAATTTTATTTTTAATTCAGTATTAACACATCAAAATTAATTTTACTACTTGGGTCATCTTTTGTTTTCTTCTGTTTATTACTGATTCCAGTTTTGGTTCGTGTTCGTTCTCTTACTACTTATTGCTTGCACGTTTAATTTTTTTTTTTTAAAAAAAAAAAAATTTTACTCAGAAGAATTTTTGTGTTTAAGAAGCAACTTAAAATTTCAGATATTCCTGCCTTCGTGGTTGGGTCATTCTCGTTCACGTCGAGGGAGGACATTTGTCAAGTATTCAACCATAGGAAGGATCATGGTGTTGACGGTTTAGGCGGCCGGCTCCGTTAAGCCCGATTGCAAGATCGACAGAGTCTCCGCTCAATTTACATAACTAACCATCAATTTTCTCTTATTTCCGCAAAACCCCCGATTTTAATTTCTTTTTTCATAGCCCTCCCAATAATGCCTTTTTTTTTATTACTTGCATATTCTAATTCTTTTGTTTTTTTCTATTTGACAATCGCTTTACAATGAAATTTTTGTATTTAATAGTATTAATGGATTACTTGAATCTTAATCGAAACATATTTAGAAATTTAATATTATTAGAATTGTACTATTTAATTCAGTTCAATAACAAAATTGTACTAGTTAACTTTGACTTATATAATACACGATAATTTTAGTTAATATGTTCTAGATTTTACATTTCAACTCACAATTCTCTATTCAAAAAAGTTTTAATCACTACAATTTTTTTTCCCTAGCAAGAAGCAATGGATGAAAGCAAAAGTTTTAATTACATCTACAAAGATTGAGCCCAAAAAAAAGTTATTAGCAGTCCATTAAGTTCCCTAGTTATGGAAACTATGTTATAGTAATTGAATTTTTGCATCAAAATCTATAATTCTAATACTGTTTTTCAAATAGTACAATCATGATACGAAACTTATCGAATCCCATTATCTTAGCTGTAGTTGTTAATACATAATAGATACTGCATAATAAAAAAAAAAATATTGTGATGATTGAAAATATAGGATACTTGAAAATAAAATATACTAAATTATTCTAAGTTAACAGAGATATTAAAGAAAATATTACAAGCAATACTTGATCTGTTAAAATTACTAATCATTATCATGAAAAAGATGACTAAAAATGACATGAATAGATTTTGGATGTTAAAAACTTATAAAAATTTAAAGGGAAAGTTTTGAAATTGTTTATTTTTTTTGAAAAAAAAAAAAAAAAAAAAAAAAAAAAAAAAAAGAACAAGGGTTTAAGAGAAATAAAACCCTATGAGGTTGTCTTGAAGAATCTCCACTTTTCTTCTTATTTTCTCAAATGAATTAAATTAGCACTTATATGAAGGTGAAAAATGTATGCACCATCATCTCTTTACCCACACAAAAACAAATCTGCATCTAATACTAAATACAAACATCACTATTTGCCTCCGAGGCCTGATGGTATGAATCCTTGTTTCTATAAAAAAAAATTGGCATATTGTGGGTCCTGAGGTCATCTCCTATTGTCAGAATTGGTTTTCTGGAGATGTTTTCCTGAGCAGGCTAATGAGACGAATGTAGTCCTTATTCCAAAGTCAGATAACTAGAAAATGATTCGAAACCTCCGGTCAATCTCCCTATGTAATGTTGTCTATAAGATTTATGTAAAAGTGTTGGCAAATCGACTGTGTGGTATCCTCCCGACCACTATCTCTTAATCGTAGTCTGCTTTTATTCCTAGAAGGATGATGACGGATAATCTTTTATTGTCTTTTAAATTGATTCATAGTATGAAGACGGCTGGCCCACGAAAACAAGTTGACATGGTACTGAAAATTGATATTAGCAAGGCGTATTATCGCGTTCGATGGGATTACTTGGAGGTAATATTGTTAAGACTGGGGTTTATAGAGTGCTGGGTTCAGCTCCTTATACAGTGTGTGTCGTCGGTTACATACCGAATATGTTTGAATAGTGCATCTTTAGGCCTAATTACTCCCTAACGAGAACTCTGTCAAGGGGATCCCCTTTCTCCCTATTTTTTTTTTTATTTTATGTACAGAGGGCATCTGAGAGCTCTTCCGGCGGGTGGAGGCTGTGGGTGACCTACATGGGGTGCAGCTGTGCTGATAAATCCCTAGCATTTCCCACTTTTTTTTCACAGATGATTTGATACAACCAGAAGATCAGCAAGGATCCCAGTCAAGAATCCCAAGTATCTCTGATTCTGGTATCGTTGAAGCAAGCAGAACTTCCTCAAGACCCGGTCAACTATTCAGCATCAATTTATCCTCTGTTTTTTTAATTTACTTCCAACATTATTTTATCTTTTGAGTTGTTGAGATTATTTAGTTACTATTAGCCGTTGTGCTCCCTGGATAGCAGGGAGAAGTTATTGTTTCCCTTCCTATTTAAAGCCCCGTCGGATTATGGATGAGGCAAGTATTACT